ATATATATATATATATATATATATATATATATATTTCTAATTTTTACTGGAATATCAAAAAATTAATAACATATCTAAAAAGAAATGAATTATCAGTTAATCTTAGCAGCCTAATTTTAATAGTTCATTTTATTGAATTATGCATGTGATGAAGTATTCGGGCAGAACTAAATTATTAATTTTCCAAAACTTTTGTAGGCATTTTTTATTTTTAAAATTGTAAATAAAACATGAAGTATTTTTAATGAAAAAGAAGATTGTTTTAAAAAATATTTTAAATGACAAAGCGAAAATATGCAAGTTTAGCTGTTATCAAAAAAAACAGCAGTAGTGAATGTATATAAAAGATATAGTGAAAGAAAAAACCATAGAATCTCTTGAAAGTCAAGAAGGCCTCAAATTAAATCAGAAAGACTAGATAAAGTTTAAATTTGTTCCACAAATAATGATCCACCCAAAAATGCTGTCATGTTAAATACTGAAATAAAAATATTTATAATGTAAAATGTAGTGTTGACACAACCAAGCATTGATTGTTGTCTACATTTGGAAGACATTCTGCAAAGAAACCTTTTATTTCTATAAAGAATCAAGAAGCACGCTTAAGAAAATATGAGTTGGGCAAGAGATTTAATGTTAAAAGTACTTAACAGTGAAGAATTTAAGTTTGCTTTATTTAAATCTGATGGTATAAGATATATTCGTCAACCAAAAGGCCATTGAAAATATCCTAAATGCCAGCTAACAACAGTAAAACATGGAGATTAAAATGTTATGGTATGAGGTTGCTTCAAAAGGAGTTGTATCTGTAATTTGCTTAATAGCATGTTATTTGACTGAAATATGTACAAAGATATTATTAAAGATGTTATGCCAACATATGCTAAAGACAAAATGCCTTAAGCATGGGTTTTTAGCATATGGGTTTTTATATTTGTAAAAGACTTTTTCAAGACCTAAAAAATTGATTAATGGAATGGCATTTGCAAAGTCCTTACCTTAATCATATTTAACAATAATGGGAAAACCTTGATCAACAGATTTCAAAAAACCAACTAGTTAATGTAGTTTTTATTAAATTCTGAAACAAGAATGGAAAAAAATTAACAAGTGTGATTATGAAGATAATGGACTCAATGCCTTGTCACTGTCATGCTTAGTAGTGTTGTTTGCAACCTTGTTGAAAGTAAATAAGAGTTTAAAAGCATATAAATTAATGACAGTATTTAAATGTAAGTATTAAACTATCCAACTAAGTAATATAAAAATTTATATATATATATATATATATATATATATATATATATATATATATATATATATATATATAAATATATATATATAATTTTTTTTTTATATATTTTAATGCTTTACTCCATTTTCTATTTACTCTCTTAATACACACCTAATACAAGAGAAAGAAGGGAGGGGGGTATGGGTGGGATGAAAGGTTGGGTTGGAATTTTAGTCAAAATCTAGTAAACAGAAGAGAAGAGAGTCTTGAAAAAAAGGGTGTGTGGGAATTTTTTACAGAACTAAAATAATACAGTTTAAGTTTAGTATGGCTTACTTGTTCAATTGTTTCCTTCCCCATTTTATAGATCTCCACTGAAGATTCCACCTTACTTTTTATCCTCAGCCTCTTCCTTTCCCAATCTTTTTGTAAATTATCAACTATTTAAATCTAATTAAGCATTAATAATTAAAAAAATTGCACTTTTTCTGGAAAATAATTATACTATAAGGCTTTTTTTATAGAGGCATACAGCAAGATATATTTTTTTGACAAAGAAATCTTATAAGATTGCTTTTTTCTTTAAGCATTTGACGTCTGATATCAAATTGGTATATTATTTTCACTCATATATTTGCATTATCAAAATTAAAATGTTAATTTTTTTGAAGAAAATGTATTTTTTCTATATATAATGAGTGTAACACTGGTTAGGTAGTGTAACACAACAAAGAAACATTCCTATACAGTGTACTTAGATTTATAGCTAAAACAATTTTTTATTAAAAATATAAATCAAATTATATAATATTATTGTAAATCAAATTATATAATATTATATATATATATATTTTTAGTATATGATTACTATAGGCTATGTGTTTGTGCTTATAATGATCAGTTCAAAAAAAACTTCTATCTTTAAAAAATTTTTGCCTAAAAGTTTGCTTAAAAAAAGTTAGCAAAATAGCAGCAAAACAACAAAACAAAAAAATGAAAAAAAATATTTGGATCCAAAAAAAAGCAATTGGAAAAAAATGTTTTTTTTTTGTAACTTATGTATCCATGTATAATAAATACATATGGGTACATAATTGTATTATTTTCAGGGGGAAATCCTTTTATTCTTTTTTTAGGGATCTCTTCGTAATAAAATATTAGGCGATGGTGCTCTCAATGAGAAGACGGCATCAGAAAAATCTTATCAAATTCTCAGTGGTTTGATATATTTACACAGTAAGCTTATAATACACAGGGATATTAAAGGTTATTATTCTTGTTTTCATTATATTCAAGGTTATTTTCTAAGTTTATTATTCAACATAATAGTTAATATATAAAAGGCTTAATTAAGAATATCATCATTTGCAATTGCTTTCTGCCCCTTCTTAATAAGAAATTTTTTAAAGATATTAATTTGGCTTATTTTTTGGTCATTCCTGAAAAATAAAATAAATATTACCCTAAGTTTAGCTTTTGAATTTAAATATGAGATCATTTGCTCACATTTACATAGATTTTTATTCAAAACAAAACACTTTTCAGTTTTAATTATTTTATATCTCTGCACAGAGATTTATTCTCTGTACCCTCTGCACAGAGATTTATTCTCTGTAAAGCCAATAATTTTCAACTTCTATTTTAAATTTAAATTTAGTGTGATATCATTTATGGATTTAAACAATCATTAAGTGAATTTATCAAACTTAACTAATTAATATAATATCTTTATAACTTAATGTAATATAAATATATTAGTTCTGTAACCTAGTACTACCTGTCCAATGCCCTGCTGCCTTGTAGTGTTAGTTTTTTTTCGGTGAAGGCAAGGATAAATAAAGTTTGGCTTAAAATCCTATGCCTTGGCGCTTTTGGTTGAGTAAAGGCTAGAGATGTAATGAGGGTAAAGCTCTAAAACTCAGTTTAATGGTTCAGGGGCTGGCTGGTAGTATGTTTTCTTGAACTCTGAGAAGCTGAAATCAACAGCTGTTAAATATCAGAGAAATAATAGTGCCATGTTGCACATAGATGGTGTCGCTTTTAATACCTTTGGTGTTTATTGGCATGGCCACAGAAGGAGCCCTAATTTACAAATTTTATTAAACCGGATTGAAATACAGAAAAATTGCATAGCTTATTGCCTAAAATGCCATGCTCTATCTATAAACGAGTCAAGTTCTTTTTAAATTTAAATCATACCTAAATTAAATAAAAATATTAAACATAAAAAACTATCCCCACTACACAACTGTTGCGTATACAGGGTTCCCACTCCTACTTAAAAACCTTAAATATCCTTAAAAAAAAAAAAACTACTTAAAAGTCCTTAAATAACCTTAAAAAAAGTTAAAGTTTGACTGCTCTCCTTAATTTCTCCTTACTTTCTTTTTTTTTTTTTATCATCTTGGAAATTTTATTAAAGCAAATGGATTATACTTATCTATAGATAAGCATATAGTTACTTGGTTACTTCTTTGATGAGTTAAAATCTTTTCCAAAGGCAAAGAATGATTTGTTGTTTCTTCTTTTGTCTGATCCACTAAACTGTACTTAGAATTTCATGAGTTTTGAAAGTCTTTCAACTAACTTGTTTAAAATTTGGCAACTAAACTCAGGAATTTATTAACTAAACTCATGAACTATTAAACTCATGAACTATTAGTCAATTGTGCTTATAACAAGAGTGGGTAGCAATAAAAGGAGGAGTGGGAGTTTTCTAGATCTTTTAAATGGAGAGAAGAGGGGATCTTGATAAATGGTAATGTGGGAAATTTTTACAGAACACAAATAAAACAATTTTTTTTTATTTTAATAAAATTATAGTGTGTATACTTACAGTCAAATGCACTTTTTTTAACAGCTCATATATTATAATCATCAGTTTCATCATAACTTTATTAAAGTTTAATATGCTATAAAAGTTTTATACTTTAGTGAGGAATAAAAGAAAACCTAAGAAGTTCTAGGAAACCTTGGAAACTTAGCATGGGCAGGATAAGTTTTAGAAAATTAAACATCCTCTCCTGTGTATTAAGCTCCTAAAATATCTCTGAAACCAAAACAATGACACAATAATCAATCACCATCTTACATCAACGTAATTACCTCTGAGAAATGTATATGTAGGTAAGTTGGTTTTTCTATTATATTTTATTTTATATATTTTTTTCACATTTGAATTCAAAAGATTATAATTTATTGATGAAGACCTACAGTGCTTAATAGTCAAGTCATTGAATAAAGAATATCTATTCAGAAATCAGATCGCTCCTCCAACGCAATTAAATGGTAATTAGGAATCAAGTTAAACTAGCGGCCATGGAACCTATTTAAATGGGGTTGCCTTGGAAATAGGTTTTTGTAATTTGAATATTACTTTTATCAGTAGATAATTTCTGAAGTTCCTTTATCTTCTAACAGTACAACCAATAAAAAAGCATAAGAAATTAAAAGTAAGTGCAGTTCAGCGCACTTAACAAACTTAAGTATATTGGTGTTTATAAAGCAACACTACATAAATCATTTTTTCACTACATAAATCATAGGCTGGTTTGGCACTTAACCATCCAAATAATATAATGACATAGAGAATAATAACAATAACAATTTAATGAAAATAAATAAAACAATCCATTACAAATTTTTTTGTTTTAATAAAAGTAAAATAAAATTAAAAATTTAAGATAAACAGTTTATAAACTTATAGAAATTAGTAAAACTAACACCTTCCATATATTCCATTAATATAGAGATTGTTGTGCTAGTACATGCAGAAGCAAAGTATTCCACAATTCGTTTATGGCTTAAAGTTTGGAAAAGTGAGATTTCATATTTAATTTTCTCCATTTCTTTTTTTGCTTTATCATTATTGTCAGTATTTCCTACCTCAATACACTTCATAGCTAGTTTTGTCTTGGTATTTTCATCTATGCAAAGAAAGACCTATAACAGAGCAAAATTTTTATTAAATGTTAGAAGTATTTTATCAACACATATTTAATCCACCTCATAAATTATTAAACATCTATATAATTTTAAATGCAAATAGAAATACATTAATATTAGTATATAAATATCAGTGTCAGGAATGGTGTCTGATAGCACAAATTTATTTAAATTAATTTTTTAGAGTGTTAAATTAAAAATATTTTGAAAATATTTACTAAACAAGACTACTAAATAGGATTTTCTAGCAACTCTCTAGAAATAATACTATGAAAATAAAATACAAAAGTATTCAAGTAAATATACAGCAAACCAAGTGTTTACTGCTGATCAAGAGATTGTTAGAAAATCATATTTCTAAACTATGACATGAGTTATTTATTTTTCTTCTGGCCGAGAAGGCCACTACAGAAGAGGAGGCTACTTAATTGTGGTTATAACCTTCTCTCAACTCTATAACTCTGAACTGACTTATAAAAACAAACTCTGAAACACAAACCTTGGTGAACAAGATTGCTGCACAAAGAAACAAGCTGAGTGCGGTACTTCCAGGGACGTGGTGCGGATCGAACTTGAAACCTCTCACTTATAAAGTAAGCGCTCTACCATTACACCAAAACCACAAATTAAACATAAATATACATTAAAAAGACATTAAAATATGAAACATAAATTTTAAACTGACTTATAAAAACAAACCGAGGTTGGCTTATGAATATGTAAAAACTTTGACTTATCACAGTTTTCCATGATGTTTTGCAGAATAGCATATAACTTTGTCTGTTAGAAAATATGAGAGTACAAGCCTGATTATATTGATATAAATTTATATCAATATAATTAATTTTATTTGAAATTGTAAATCAGTTTTAGGGCAATTTCTTTTTTCCGCACAGAGAATTTATAATCTAAATGCTCTAGTACATGTGTTGCCTAAAACTTCTTAAAGAAAAAAATAAAAAGAAAATGAAGCCTGGGATGTTAACGCTCACTATATATTATTACTGAACTTAACGCTGCTGCTGTTTCTCATTCATTCGTATTTGACAGTGAGTTTTTAGCATGCTTGGGCTTTTAATATTTCTTTTTATATTTTTGACCACGTGATGAGGTATTCCTGAATGCTTATAATTTGTTATTATCTGCTTAATCAGTAATTAGATCAAAAACTTTGCTTCATCAGCTTAATCAGTAATAAGATTGAAAAATTGTTGATTTGATGACTTTTGTAGTAATGAATAACCTTATATTATATTTAAATTAGTATAGTAACTTTTCAGGTAATTTATTTAATTTGTTCATTTTAAAAATAACCCAATTCAAGTCGTTGGTCAATTATATATAAATTATACTAATTTATAATTTTTATTTCTAAGAAGTAGAAGACGATGCTCTTTTCAAAGATCAAACTTTTGATAAAGGTCAAACTCTTGATAAAGTTGGTGTTAATTGCTATAAAGAGTAACTACCTCAGAGAATTAAACCATATTTGTCAGTGTTGTGGTGCGAAGAAATATAAAACTCATTTTTTGTGCTGCCATTCAGAAAAAATTGTATTAGCTCCTCTTACTCCATATCCACCATTTTTGACTGATTTATTGACAGGAAACCTTAATCATCCTGAATTTTTTAAAAACCAAAATATTTTTTAAACACATAATGGGTTATAATTCATCTTTATCTTTTGCTTCCTTCAAAGCCAAAATATCTCCTCCCTCAAATAATGGCCTTTTCGGTTTTAGGGTCTATGGACAAATTTTATATGGTGTTGGAAATTTAAGGCCTGATGAAGGTTTTTTACCCACATATTATCAGCTAATTATATATGATCTTAATGCAGCAGTAGGATATAATGAAAAAACATTTTTTTTTCAAAATTGAAAATTTAAATATTATTTTCATATGCCCATAGACATTTTAAGATATATACTTTTAAAAAAATTTTTTCATAACTTCAAAATAAATTACTGAAATAAAGTTTTAAATATTTTATAATGATTAAATTAAATAAAGTTACTATTTTTTGTCGAAAGCATAATAAACGGAAATATTGTATAAAAAACAAAATACAGACTTATATAAACTAAATTAATTCAAATATTTTTTAAAAACAAAACAAAATTTATTTTATCAAAAAATTTTTATTTTATTTGTATAAAATTTATTATTTTAAAAAATTATATTAAATATTTTTATAGCAAAACAAAAACCTTCAACTTAAGCTTATAATGGTCGGTAAAATTATTTTTTATTTATTTTATATAAATTTGCGATGTTTACATTTTAAAATTATATTATGCGTTTTCTTGATTTTGTTGTGC